ATTTTATTACCAGGTTAAAAAGAGATTTGAAGTAATTTGGTCGCCTTGGCTTACACCTTTATTAATTTTATAGTTGAGACATTATAGTTTTAATAATTAGAACATAACTTTTAGAACTTTTGTTAAAATCAATTCATAATAAAAAATAAAAATTGTATACGTTTACTACTACATTATCACTTATTATCTTCATATTTAGGAACTGGTGGATCAGGATGAATTTTTCAATTGAGTTCATTCAAGAAAAGGTTTCAGTCGTTTGATCAACATTTTATTAGACGTATGGAACGGCAAAGAGGGCTTACAAATTTCAGTATTATCTTCAGATCGTTTGGAAAAAGTTCAATAATAGATTACATCTGAGTTAAAAGAATTTATAGCAAGCCCACATTTCCAACACTCTAATTTGTATTTCAAAATATGCTGTTTTTTTCTAATCCAACTTTTCATATTGATTGGAACATTAACATGCAGCAAAAGTCGCCTTACTTTACACCTCATCAGAATATTCATATTTATTTGAACTGACATACGAATTACTGATTTGACAAAGCGAGTTCGACTGTACGAATTATGTTCCCTTTCATTTCGCCATTACCGGAAAAATCCCACCTTGAAAATTGTTTAAAGATGGTCGGAAGCGTTAGAATGCTCTGAAAGATTCTTGTCTGCAAAGGTTAGGGTGATTTGTTAGTCACCGCCGACAAAACAAAAAGATGGTTGGAAGCGTTAGAATGCTCTGAAATCTTTCGTGTTCATTAATAAAACGTGTTAGTAACTTTCTGTCAACTTTTACATCGATGAATTATCGAAAAGGGGATTGATGCGAAACTGCAACATTCCTGATAATTCAATGGAGGCCGTCATTAGCAATCACCATCCTTTTACACCACATGTTACGAGATTTCGATTGGATAAATTCAATGGGGACGTGTGACGTAAAAGCAACGGCTAGATATGGATTATATCGTATCGTTACATTACGCTGATGCTTGTGTTATGGAACGAAAACCGGAGATTTTCTAAGAATATTGGTCATGAAATCACAGCTATTTGCTACGTTAACCCGGTCTTCAGATCCACACTGTTCCTTTATTACCCATCACCGAAACAACATCTTACAGCAACTCAACGCACGGTTCCACTTCCGGCGTCACCAGGGAACTTCCTCCATCAGCACAACATTTCAATCATATCTTATCTGGACACAATTATATGGATAAGAATTATCTTGCGATAACGTAATCCCTTTGTTACCCAATCCACTTTTTACTATATATTCTAATTGGTCTGCTATTTTGTATCATTGCTTGATAAAGACGGAAGAACCTTCGTCGAAACGTCGCAAGATGTCTTATTAAATTAATTGTTTTCCATATAATTGTGTCCAGTTACTTATTGTCCAATTATTAAATGCCACTTAAGGAAGCAATCATATCTTGGTCTGCTCTCGGTCCCGATTTGAATGCAATTGAACAAGAACGCCCATTGCCGACAAATGCAGCGGAACTGACTGTTACGTTTCTGAGAGTATGAGTCCATATCCCATGGGCCTTGATCAATAGGCTTGTCCTCTTTTTCCCCCCTTTCCTTATGCATTTCGATAGAGGTGAATACAATTTTAACAGATATTTACCTTTCAGATTCTATTTCAGAATTAAATTCTGTATATATATTCAATATTTTTTCCAAGTAATATAAAAAAAGTAATACCTCAGAGCTTAACGTTCAGTTGTTTTTTCATATATTCTTATGACAGGTTTCTTTATGGTTATTTCTTATATGTGCTGCTGCAACAACAACAAAAAGTATTTCAATATGTATAATAGGCAAAATCATATTACGCAGGTGTTACAACTAATATGCAAATATCTATCGACCATAGTCATATTACCAACTCAATATCAATACAATATTGATAGATTGATCACTTCAAATAACCATTTCGATTTTATATTTGACTTTGCATACAGGCTATAGAATTTTATATACAAAAAGGACATCATTGCATGACATATACGAAAGTACAACTCAAACAAATCGATTATTTTTCTGATTATATCTTTCACAAGTCGAAATTCTCGAAACATCGAGTTTTAAAAATGACTTAATTGAAATTGAAATTTACGTCCATTATTTCTGATCAAAATTTGACAAAGTAGATGGCCAACGCTATGCATGCAATGCTTATTGTTGCGAAGGCTCTCCGCCGTTTTGGTTTTTAAAAATTCGAAGCCCGTTAACGATATTTTGCGATATTGGACAAGGCTGAAACATCGTATTGATTTTTTCAATGAATCATTAACTTTACCTGCAAATCCAAGATTGTGTTACTTGATCCATGTCATTCCACTGGGGAGAATAATACACATAAGATCTATTAAAGAGGAAGTCATTGCACTCAAGAAAGATGTTACAGATATGAAAACAGACATAGACACGATAAGGACTAAATTTGATGGTACCGAAAATTTGATAAAGCAAAACAATTTAATATTCTATGGAATGCAGGAAAATGTTAATGAAAAATGGGGAGATTGTGAGCAATTGGTGAGATGTTTTATAGAGAATGAATTTAAAATTGAAGGTGCTATGGATGACCAAATACTCGCTATTGAACGAGTTCACAGAATTGGCAAAATATTAAACGTATCAGAGCGACCTCGACCTATGAAAGTAGTATTCAGTAGACTGAAATCAAGAGACGTCGTTTTAAATTCGGCGCGAAAACTACTCAAAAGGTCAGAGTCACGCGTATCAGAAAATTTCACCCAACGAGTTAGATTAATTCGTAAAGGATTAATCCCCCGTCTTATTGAAGCAAAACGAAACGAGAACAACTCTGTGTCACTAAAGTATGATAAACTATTTGTAAATAGAGATGTGTTTACATTTGACCTTGATAAAAAGGAGATAATTAAGATTAAGTCTACTCGTTAGCAATCAACAATCAACAGTGAAAGTA